TTCTGGAATTCCAATCACACATAAGTTATTCCTGTTGATAGTATCCCACTAATTTTTTGGCTTTCTTCAGATTTTTTTTTTTTTTTTTTGATTGTTCCTCTAGCAGATGAACAATGAGAAATTTTTCTACAAGCTCAGTAATTCAGCCTACCATTGCTTTAATTTTATTTCTTTGCCCTTACTGTGTATTATCTATTTCTGAAGTCTTAGTGTTAACCTTCTGGCTTTCTGGTTACTGTTTTTGTATGGTTCCCATTTTTCCAGGTTTCCCCCCTGGATTCTTCTAAAGTTTTGTCCATGTTCTGTTTGATTTCATCTGCAGTTTTTTCTATCATTCTTCCAGTCTGTTGAAGTTGCCCCTAATTAACATTCCTTAAAATTCCTTATCAGATAGTTCTGATACCATTTCTGGTGTTATATTTTCTGACTGTATTTTGGTCACTTGTTTGAAGCACTCTATCTTGTTATTTTGTGTAAGCTGAAATGATCTGCTTTTTTTCGAGAGATTGCCGTGTTGTATTTATATGTGACTGATGATTGTATAGTGGTGTGTTCTCAGGGACTCACCACCTGTCTCTTGGATATGTAGAGACTGGAAGTGTGAACACAGTTGTTCTCTGTTCATGCACCTCCGGAAGCAGGGCCGCTATGCCAGGAGCTGGACCATAGGCAGAACAGAGGCTGCGCAGGATCTGTGAGGGGGTCAGGGCTGTTGGGTTGGAGAGGGCAAGGACTGGCCATGCCCCTGGTTTCCAGAGGGCACAGGAACTAGAGAGAAGAGCACTGTTGTGCCGCCGACCTCCAGCCTCTTCCTGTGCCCACAGGCTGCTGTGTTAACAAAAGCCCAAGATGGCTGTGCCACTCTACACCAGCCCACAATCCACACCTTTTTCTTCTCTCTCACTGCTTCTGTTCAGCTTCCTCTTCCAGTCAGCACTCATTCCACCTCTCTGTCCTGTCCTCTGATGCTTGGGTTCCAGGGTCACCATCTGTATCTGTTTCACTTAGCCTCCCATGGCTTTGTTGTAGAGGGTTTGCTCAGTGCGCCTGCCTACGCCGCCATCTTGCCCTTGGTCCCTCAGTTTTGAAACATAAAAAGAGCTGATTAGGCATGGAACCAAGCAAACACAAACTGGGATAGATAGATGTCACATGAAGATCACCAAGAGACCAAGGGACAGAAACTGCAAAGAGACAAGGATCTTCCCCCAGAGCCCAAAGAGGGGGAGCATGGTCCTGTAGCCAGTGGCCCCCAACTTGGACTTTTAGCCTTCGGAACTGTGGGAAAATCTGTTTGTGTTCTTTTAAGCCACCCACTAGTGGTATTTTTGTGTTAGCAGCATTTAGATAATTTACATGGGGCTGGAGGGCGGGGAAGATAGTCTAGAGGCAGGCTCTCTGATCAGGAATGGGCTGTCTGTCCCAGCCAGGCTGGGGAAGACATGAGGCCCTCGGCGTTGTGCAGTTGACGGGACATGGCTCTTTGTGGGGTGAGGGTGGGTATGAGGTGGAGCAGCTGTGAGCAAGGATGGCAGCCACACTGTGGGCTCTGAGTCTAAAGACATAGATGCTCAAGCCTCCTTCCTGTGCCTGACCAGCTCTTCTCACAGGCCCCGTTAGTCCTTGGCGTGGCCTCTCCTGCCGCCTAGAACAGTGTTTTTACAACGTTGTTTTCACAATTAATGGTGACCCTGACGAGTGACCCCAACCGCTCAAGCCGCCTGGCTTGGCGGTAGCATGGTGAGGAACACGATGGGTTTCCTGACACGGACGAACTGTCAGGCAGTCTGGAGGTTTACGTTTTCAATAAACTGGAGTGCTTGTGGTTTGTCTCATTAGATGTGAAGGACTTCCTGTGTCAGGGCCTCGGGTCACTTTCACAGTAGATGTCAGCAGCTCACCTTCCTATCACCCAGCCCACGTGGGGACTCTGTGTTTTCATAAAGACAGCAATAATGAACCATGTGTTTATTGAGCACATACGTACTGTTAACTCTCTCCATTTCTGAGCATCCGCCCCGTGATAGGCCAGTTTACAGATAGAGAAGCTGAGAGATCCCTGCTTTATAAGCGTCTCTCACTTTAAAGTACTTGGGCCACGTCAGCCTGAGTGTCAATCCCTGACTGACTGTTCCAGGGCCACAGGCTGTCCCACAGTGGTGGCCTGGATCCTTGTTCCCATTTGCCTGTTGTATAAGGGAGGGACAGACAAACTGCCCTTTGCCCTCACACAGCTCAACCTATTGTTAGGTGCTGTTGAGTCAATTTCAACTCCTAGTGATGTCATGTGATAGTGGAGAATTCCCTCATAAGGCTTTCTAGTCCGTAATCTTCATGGGATCAGATCGCAGTGCCACTGGGTGGATTCAAACAGTTGACCTTTGAGTTAGCAGCTGAGCTTATAACTTTTAGCTCCCCCCAAATTCCTTCTCTCAGCCTGCAGCTCAGGTTTCTGTTCAGCGACTTAAAGCAAGGAAGGATCCCCTATGTTTCTTTGAGTTCCAGCAGAGTGTCCATCACAGTTATTGTGTTTGTTCGAAGAGAGACTCACTCAAGCTAGCGTTTACTGTAAGAATTTAGAAAAAAATCCACAGCAGCCAGGAGTAGGCAAGACATATAACTTTAAGGATGCCTGGCTATGTGAAATTGAAAGAAGAGTCTGTATTTGGCTGTTTTCTTTTTTGCCCCCTCATTCACTTCATGCATCAGTGACCTCTTAATTACCATCTTCATCTGAAGAGATCTCTTCTCCATCTTTGATGCTGCTGTCTGCTGGAGTCCCTGGGTGGCTGCTAACCATAGCATTGGTGGTTCCAGTCTACTTAGCGGTTCCTCCTACTTAGGCTTCTCGGAGGAAAGGTCTGGTGATCCACTTCTGGAAAAATCAGCCAGCCACTGAGAACCCGAGGGAGCTCAGTTCTACTCTGACATACATGGAGACATCATGAGTTAGAGTCAACTCCACCAGAGTTAGTTACAGGTCTGCTGATACATCTTCTTGAAACCCAAGACTGTGTAAAGTCACTCACTCTCCTTGTCCTGCTCTTAGCATTTTGATTGTTCTTACTTCACCTCCACAGAGGTGTTAAGAGTTCTGCAGGGTTCATTCCTTGACTTCCTACTTTGCTATACCTCCTGTTCTTGCTGGGAAATCTTAGCCACTCCAAGTGCCAAGGACTCCTCACATACTGATGACTTGCATACCTAGACTCAACCCTGACTTTCCTCCTGGGTTTTTAAAAAAAAGTTTGTTTTTTTTTAAGCATTTTATTGTGAATTGGGTGAAGGTTTACAGACAAGATCATCAGCTCTACATTCAACAAACCATACACATTGTTTCATCTCAATGATGACAATCCCCTCCCTGCAACAACATCTATCTCACTTCCTTCCTGTGGCTCCCCACCTACATCTTATATTTCACAAATGAAACAAGGCAAAAATATTTGATCTGCATTCTGCCAGCCAGCCTCCTACCACCGTCTCTGCTGTCGCCACTTTCCAGGTAGGATCTGACGCTCCACTTATGTTCTTCGTTCTTGATGGTCCTGGGATCGTCTGTTCCTGAAATGAAAGATTACCTACCCCCTCCTCTTAGTTACACATCTTCGACAATTGCAATTGATCCTGAGTCATAAATACCTACCATTGTCGTCCCTCATCCCCTTTCACAAGATCCATCTGGGAAGGAAGGAAACTATTCAGTGGGGATTCTACCTTACCCACCTCAGTCTTCAACTAAACATACTCATGAAAACCTGTAAGCCAGGTACTTTGTGCCTTTGTAGTCTCCTCCCCCACCACCATTTTTGGTAGCCAGTGTCTAAATTTCTCATCCCTATCAACCCAGTACACTGAGAAAACAAGGTGGTTTCTTGATATGAAGAATTCTTCCATTTCGGTTGGAATTTTGAGTCACTGCATTCTTTAAGTCTAGCTTGTCAAATTGAAACAATTTGCACTGGCTCTCAGGATCAAAGACCCATCTTGATCGTCCTCAGTTCAAGTTCTGGTCAACTTGCCGTCCAAGCTAGGTCAGATGGGTACTAACTGCAAGTTTGGGAGTTCACACACATCTCCCTCCCTGCACTTCAGACCAGCTGGCCACTTCACTCTCAGTCCCAGCCCCCAAGGGCTACATCAATGCCCATTGTCCTCCTGGGCTATTGGTGTGTCAACATATTCTCCTGAGGAGTGGGGTTCCACCTGCACCTCAAGCTCAGTAAGTCTGAAGTGTGGAGCTCATTCTCTAACACCTCCAGCTGTCTCTCCAGTGCCCCCTCCCTGTACCTGGTTTCAGTTGGGGGCATCACCACCTCCCACTAGAAACATGGGGATCATCCCCGAATCCTAACCCCCTACCTTCCTGTGCCCTGAATCTAAGTCACCAGCATCCAGATGGCTCTTCCTCAGCATCTGTGGTCTCGTGTCCCGATGGGTGGGGGATAAGGTGAGGGGTGGGTAGGGTGACCAGTCATTTCAGTCATTGTTCCCAGGAGTCCTAGTGTGGTGCTGTGAGTTAATGCGCTGGATTGCAAGGTTGTCTTGAATTGTAAGGTTGGTGGTTCAAGCTCACCAGATGCTCCTTGAAAACCCTACACAGGGTCTCTGTGAGACGGAACCAATATGACGGCACTTAACAACAACAACAAAATTGTGGGGGACAACCAAGTGGCTCAGCAAGTGTCTTTCCTCGGATTGCGGCAGCTTATCTGGCTCTGGTTCTTGGCCTCTGGCAGAACTTTTAGACACACACTTCTGGGCCCTGCCAAGTCTTAAGAGCCTCCTTTGTTCACATGGGAGGTTTCCTCTACTTCCTTCTCCTCAGGGCTCCTCCCTTAGTCTGCAGAGGTCCCTCCTCCCCAGGCACCTGAGTGGAGTCTCTGGACTGAAAGTTGTTCCTTTGGGGGCAGAGGAAAGGACTAGTGTGTGCTGACAGGGAGGGTCACCTCTGCCATGTGCTGCCGTAAACACAGACTCATTCCCTGTTTTGTCCTCAGGCAGTTGCAGCCTTCAAACACCCACAGGACCCACTGCCTGGCCAAGGCCATTGCGGACATTCTGTGGCAGGCTGGGGACCAAGAGAGAGCCGTGGTCACACTGTAAGTGCTTCCAAGGGCTCTTTCGCTACCACTTAGCCTTGGGCTGGCAGAGACGCAGGCAAGACGGCTGTGCAATTGCGCAATTCCCTGTGCTTGGGGCAGCCATCTGCCAACGTGGGCGTCAGGTCGGCGCTGCTGCTGGTAGACCCTGCCCTGCAGTGCCAGGCATCACCGTGAAAGGCAGCGAGCTAGCCTGAAGTGGTGAGCAGCCCTGGACTGCCAGTCCCACAGAGCTCTGCTGACACCCTCTCTGGGCTCTGATGCTCATCTCAGAGGAGCTGTCTGCTCAGACTTCCTCCCTGGGATGTGATGGAGAAAACCCTGACCCAGGCAGCCCAGCTCCCTCTGTAGTTCTCTGATGCAGATGCTCTCAGGATTGTCTCATCCCTTACACCACTGATGTGTACCTGTTCTTCTCAGCCCCCAAAGCACCTCTGGTCTATGAAGGCAGGCAGACACAGAGAGGTGAGCAGTGGATGGGGGAGCCCAGGCCCATATAACCCACAGGGAGAGTTTGCTGGCTCTTTGGCCTCGACTTTCAAACTGATGCCATCACTTTGTCCCATGCGGCTTAGCTGTAGTGAAGGTCATTTTTGGGGCCAAAGACCATAGTCTGGTGGGCATAGTGGTCAAGAGAAGTGACTCTCAAGTCAGCTCCCATTGCTGTTTTTCAGTGGCTGTGTGGCTTTGCACAGTTCACCTAACCTCTCTGTGCCTTATTGATTTACTCATCTGGAAAATGGGGATCACAGTAACTCAATGTGATTGCCATGAGAATGAAACAAGTAATTATGAATAAATGACTATGAGTTCACATCATTTATCCACATAAATAAATGATCAATGATGATAGACCTGGGCTGCTTAGGATAATGCTTGACACAGTGAGCACCCTGTAAGCGTTTGGGATTATCATCGTCACCATTATAGAATATTAAGTTCTTCTCTTCAGTGCCCATGCCACAGTTAATTTATTTACCCCAGCCCTCAGGATTGCACAGCAGCCCTGAGATCACATGGAACAGGAATTCAATTGCTCCCTGTTTTACAGATGAGGAAACAGAAGTCCAGAGAGGGCCAGTGGCAGGTCCAAGACCACACAGCAAGCTTATGGCTCAGGGGGTCCTACATCTAGGCAGTGCCTCATGGGGGTGCCCCCTCAATGAAGGCAGAGTATACAGATGTCACGTGGGGTGGGTGGGCATTCAGAGAGGACAGAGACTGGGATGCCTTGTGCCCCTGAGAACCAAGGGTGACAGGCATACTCCCTATTGCCGTGTGTGGGGCTGGTTATTACAAGGTCTCCCTTTGCTGGTTTTTTTTTTTTTTTTTCTTTTCTTTTTTCTGGCTAGTGGAGTTCTCTGGACCCAGCCTAGTGGCTGAGGTCAAACAAGGGAAAAACAAGAAGTGCTTGTTGCGTTCTTTTCTCCGGAGCCACTTTTTGATTTGCCCTCATTTCATGGCACATGCGGTTTAGCCCTGGCTGAAGGGCACATCACTGCTCCGGGCGGGGACTCATGCATCTCCCTTTCCTTTTTAGGGTTTCAGGAACACAGCAGTTCAGTCCAACCGGGAAATACAAAGCAGATGGAGTCTTAGAAACAGTACGGCTTTCTGGAAAATTATCACGCAACCTTTGGCTTTGTTTGGGGACTGTCTCCTTTCATAGAAGTAAATCCTTCCCCAGCTGGGATGGGTCAGCCTTCCCTCGCTGCAGCCCAGGCCTGAAGAATCCTCCACCTGGGATTGGGGTGGGGGCAGAGGTGGGGATGGCTTTGGGGTTCTTTCCTGCTGGAACTAGTTGTATTGCCTGTAGTCTGATCAACTTTTGTTCCCAGGAAGTTTTGTAGAATCTGTACCTAATGCCTTTTGCCCCAACCTCAACCTTCTCTATGTCCCTCTTGATATTTCTTTAGCATCCTCTCTGGGGTTATTATGAGAGGGCCATGGGTTGTGTAACAGAGAAGGAGAGATAGTTAGAAGGTGGGAAGAACTTAGTGGATCAGCTCACCTGCCACAAAGTTGGATTTGCCAAAGGCCAACTTTTAGAAGACAAAGAACAAATGAGAAAGAAGTATGAAAATACCAAGAGAAGATGGAGTCCCCCACCCCCAACACCACACACACACACACACACACACACACACACACACACACCTATCACAGCTCAACCTTCTCTTCATTGAGAGTTTTTGGTTCATTGGACCTCATTTGCAGACCTATGGCCCTGAGATCCCTATTAAGCCTCACTTGGCTGAATGTTTTCTGGAAAGGTGGTTTTTCCTGGTCTGCCTGGAAAAGCAAAGGCCATCCCTACCTCCTGCTTCCTATGGTGTTGAACTTGAGACACTGCCTGTTGAGCTTTGTCCCTGGCCTGCCCACTGTGGCCTGGATGTATCCCTCTAGCCCACACTCACACCCCATATGCCGCCCTCTACTACTGGGCTCATGTGTAATGCCAGGACCTTTGCTCTTCTCCCATGGTATGTCCAATCCTGGGCACTCCAAGTATAGACATGGGACTGCTGCAGAGCAGACTCAAGCCTAGAAACTCCACCAGTGCTGGACCAGGCTTTGCAATTGCATGCAGATGTGGGCGTGACTCCTGACCCCCCAGAATGCTACTCTCTAACTGTGCGTGATGTCCAAGTGGAGCTCCAATAGTGAAGCCAGCCCACAGAAGCTGACCCAGTCTAAGCCCAGACTGGGGGGCTCAGCAGTTTATCCTATGTGTTTGCCCCTCCTCAGCTCATACTCCACAGTCTGACCTGCTACGAAGAACTGGAGATGTTTCTTCAGCAAAGCATCTATCAGGTATGAATGGTGGTTTTGTTATTGCAGGGTTGGGCATCTTTAAACTTTCTGATTGCTTTCTGGAGGAGATGCTGATAAATTGGAGACCACCCAACATCTCTACCCCTCCCCCAACCCCAGGAAGGAGCTGGTGCTGACTCAGAGGCACATGGCTGAGGACAATGAGTGATTCAGGCAGAAGACTGGATTGGCCACAGGGGGGTCCAACCTCTGCCACTGCTTCCTTGAGGCAAGGTCCTGGACACAGGATGCCAGCAGAACAGGGGTTACAGACAGCATAGCTGGGAGGGACTGGGTGGGTTGGCATGAGGTGGAATCAGATATTGGACCAGAGCTGCAAGGACTTTCTGTCTGTCCAAGTGGCATCAGGCATCTCTAGACACAATGGGGTCTGTCCCTGGAAGGGTTCAGACACCAGCTAGAGAAGGGAAGAGAAGTGGATGGTTGGGTGGGGCTGAAGGTCTGAGTCATGTTGATGAAGGGCCTGCTCAGTGAAGAACTTTGCTTGCCTGGGGGGCGGGGCGGGGCTGGCTGGGCTCTGGAGCACCCAGTGGCTTTGAGGAGATCCTGGCTGAGACCTGGGGTTCAACACACAGCTAGGACCTAAGAGCAGCTGTCAGAGAGCTGTGGGAATTCAAAAGAGGACTGCATTGTCTCTGGCTTTGTGGGTTAAGCACGTGGTCTGGATCTGGCTGGCCTGTGCTTGCATCTAGGGGACTCCCCTCACTGCCTCTGTGACCTGCTGACTAACTTTTCTGTACCTCATTTTCCTCTGGAAATGTGCATAACAACAGTGCCTATCTCATTGCTAAGTGCCATTGAGTCTGTTCTGATTCACAGCGATCCTGTGTTTAACAGAATGAAACACTGACCGGTCCTACACTATCCTCACAATTGTTACTACTCTTGAGCCCATTGTTGCTGCTAACTGTGCCAGTGCATCTTGTTGGGGGTCTCCTTCTTTTTCACTGTCCTTCCACTTTACCAAGCATGATGTCCTTCTCCAGGGACCAGACCTTCCTGATAATATGTCTGAAGTATGAGAGATGGAAGTCTGACCGTCCTGGTTTCTAAGGAGCGTTCTAATTATATTTTTTCCAACACAGGTTTGTTTGTTCTTCTGGCAGTCCATGGTACTTTTAATATTCTTCTCTAACACCATAACATAACTCAAATGCATCAATTCTATGATCTTCCTTATTCACTGTCCAACTTTCACATGCATATGAGGCTATAGAAAATACCATGGCTTGGGTCAGGTGCACTTTAGTCCTTAAACTGACATCTTTTCGCTTGAACACTTTAAAAAGGTCTTGTGTGGCAAATTTGCCTAATGCAAAATACATCATCTGATTACTGGACTGCTGCTTCCATAGCATTGCACACAGGGCCTAGAACCTTGCTTGGTATACTCAGCTCATGCTAATTTGGGCATTGATAGTACAATCAATCATCTTTGTTATGATTAGTGAAGGGCAGCCTTAGGAGATGGACTAGTTATGGACATGTAGAAATGAGAGGGGGGCTTTATAGTGTGAGCCAAGATGAGGGGACCAGATGACTCCTGAGATCCTGTCCAGCCACAAGGCCTCACAATTCTGATGGTCTCTGCGTCTCCTGGTGTATAAGCAAACTCTCCGTTCCTCCTCTTTGCTTTTTCTTCAGCATTCTGGAGTGTGGTGTGTGTTCTTCTAGGATCCAGGGAGCATTAGGAGAGTTGGTGGTGACATTCTTGGATTTGGAACCAGGCCTGAGGTCCATGCTATCAGAGTCTACATCCCAAGCACAGTTTCTCAAAGGTTTGATGTCCCCTTTGTAGCTGAGAGCCTGTCATAGCCACAGAAAGCATCCTGGCCCTGACAGCCACAGGTGGTCTTTGGGCAAGGTGTCAGACCTTAGAAGACGGGCCCTGCCCTGAGAAACAGGAAGGCAGGCAATGGAGTCAGTGAAGGTGGATCTACCTGAAGTCTTGTTACCCTAGGACTATCCTTGAGACGGAGGACTCAGCTCAAGGAGAGAGTGTTGGTGTGTGGCATAAGCATATAGATTGGGATGATGTTCTTTCAGCACTGGTTAGTCCATCCGGCCTGCTAGGCGGTGGGCTGGGGGCGCTGGTGGGAGGCAATGGGTCCTGGCTTAGGCGTCAGGTAGCCTGGGCTAGGCTATCCCTTAGTCCTGTCACTGTTCTCTGTGGTTCTTCACCTGCATAGCCCTGTAGATTGCCTGCCATCACTGTTGCCTGGCCCCGTGTGGCAGGGTTCCTCCAGCAGGGATACAGTGACATCTCTGGCTCATTCTTCATTCACATGTGGCCTAGGGGAAGTCACCAGGCCTCAGGTTCCTCATCTGGAAAATGGAAGATGGCGCAGTGGTCAGATAATGTCCAGCTCTTACTGTCTGTCTTCGTTTCCTGGTGTTGTCATAACAGGAATACGGCAAGGGGGTAGGTGGTGTATCAGGTCTGCCTAGTCTTTTCACATTGGTAGCCTGGTTGTCTTGGTTATCTAGTGTTGCTAGAACACAAATGTCATAAATGGGC